GAACGAATTTGTCTATCAAGCGCTACTAATCTGCTTCAGATTTACATTCTTGATTTTGGCATTGCTCGGAAGATAACCAACTTGAAGGGAGAGCTGAAAACTCCTCGTATGTCAGTAAGGTTTAAGGTTTGTGATATGGTTTGGGGCTAACAGTAGAGAATTGTAAGCAATCAAAACCCTTAAAATTTAGGGTACGATCAGATTTGCTTCTATCTCATGCCACAAGAATTGTGAAATGGGCCCTAAGGATGATTGCGAATCTTGGTTTTACTTACTCCTTGACATTGCCGTACCTAAAGGCAATGCTTACTTACCTGATAAGGTTAAGATACATATGTGTAGTTTCCTTTCTATCTAGGCATTATTTGGAGATCAGTAGCCGACAAAAATCAAGTCCTCAAAATTAAAGAACAGTTAAGAACAGAGAAACGAGTGAGATGGAAGTATCTGCTTCCGTACAATGTGTAACACTCAAACTCTTCCAGGAAGCTGCACTGGGATGTATGAAATGCAAAGAAGAGCTTGGCAAAGTGTTAGATTATATTGACAGCCTCAAATATCATGACCATGTTGATTATGACTTCATATACAAAATTCTTACGGAGGTAGATTTATTGTGGATTCTACATGTGGAATCCTTGAGGACATTGTTTCAGTCAGCAAAAATTGAAGGAGGAGACATTAACGAACCGTACGATTGGGAAGTACCTGAAAAACCACCCTCTCCTAACGTCTCGAAGTCAACGGCAACTACACAACCCCATTAATCTCCCCCTAATTTACCATAATGCCCATCTTGGCTTTGAATTCCCTTCTATTTTAACCAATTTATCTACTGCATTCGATTTTATGCTGTTGGTAACGATGATGTGCCTGTCGTTGCGGATAACTTAAGCTGTATTGACAACCATGATAACATTTAAATTAAATATTTTTGATCTATGAACTGTTTGCTTATGATTCTACTTGTGACTAAATCAACGCAACCACATTAGCTTCTACTTGCTACATACTCGTGCTTTTCGAGAATTACAGTCTCTTCCATTTTGTTTAAGGACTCTATTAATCTAGGTAGCTCCTTAGGTAACAAAAACAGTGCGAAAGATGCTGAGA